GCATCAGTGGGTAGGAGCCACGGGTGCCACCAAGTGTCCTACAATGCATGGGAAACCCTACAATAATTTCCAGGCTCCCATTACCCTTAGGGCCAAGGTTAAGAAACTCTGCTTTAAACAAAAGACAGATGTGGCCGAATCCTGCCTGTGAACTTCCAGCTTCAGCTCTATTCAGGGTGCCTTCCTGTTGGAGGGTTAGAGGAGCCCCAGGTAGGGGGCTGTCCCCAGACACTTGAGGACAGCAGAGGGACCCGGTGGGCGGACTACACCACCATCCTTGCTGCCACCCCCTTGCTGCCCCTGTTGCTAAATAAAAGCACACAAAGCCAAAAGCACCATCTTTGAGTCTCTTGAGGACCCTGCAATAAATCCACACTTGCTAAGCAAACCCAAGGCTTTCTGAGAAAACAAAGCAAGTTGCTCCTCTATCACCCTCCTTCTTCTCCTTCCCCACAGCTGCATTCTGACAGCGAGCAGTGAAAGACAGACAAGGCTGTCTCGCTGACTCCCGGAAGCCTCTAGAGGGCTTCTAAAGATGGAAGAGACAGGTCTCCATACAGACACACAGCTCCGTCCGGTGGGACGGTACCTTCACCTCCTGTGGTTGCAGTTACTGTAATGGCCATGGGAACACTGCCTGGTCCCAGAGGGTTCCCTTCACCTGGACTGCAGTGTGAATGGCAGCCCAGGAACAGTGTAACAAGGCAGCTCTGCTTCTGGAATATGTGAGACCATCACTCAAAATCCCACCCTTTCTACTGTCTACAGCTTTTTTAACACCCACCCACCCCTCCCCCAGCTTCTCCTTCCTGCCAGGTCTGCTCTGGACCAACAATCTCTTCTGTAGATTGACATTTAAGGAAAACAAAACCATCATCGACAGGGAAAACTGCTCAAAAAAAAAAGGTTAAGTCACAGTACATTCAAAAACAAGAGGCAAAGACTTTGGAAATAACCATTTGGGGCTCACTTGTTCTCTACTTCCCTGCACCTGTGCCAAAGCAGGGGCCTCGCTTTCCAGGCGAGCTTCTGTGGGAAAAGAGGAGGTCATGTTTCCGGATTTGGAGAAGCTACCAAAATCTTCCTCCTCGCAGGAAGTTCCTGACGGCTGGAGACGAGGCCAGCATTTTCACAATGGACCATTTCCCGCTGTGGTACCGCCAGGCTTCCGAGCAGCCCCCGGGCAGCTTCGTCTTCAACCTGCGCTGGGCAGACGGTCCAGGTAACCCGCACTTCGGTGCTCCAGGGGAAAGCGCTCCTCCTGCAGCACGCTGCGCAGCAGTGGGAAATGGGCGGGAGACCCGTGGCCATGGGGTGCTTCCCCCACCCCACCCCGGGCTGCTCCAGGTTCTCTTTCTGCTTCCCCCGCCCACCCCGGCGTCTGGAGAAGGTTGTGCCTCCCCACACCATACCCCCTAGGTGAAATATAGGTCTGGCCATTTTATTCCCCAGGTAGCGAAGTTGGCATTTAAACTTCTGCATGAAATAAAAGAAAGACGTAACACCAACATCAAGAAAGCTAGCTTGTAGCCCGAAGTCTACAAATGGTATCAGAAGCACAGATCTCTAAGCTTCTTCTATTTCTAAAACTCTCTTTGAAAGTTCCTTTAACTTCCCTGATGAAAGTACCAGACTGTCTCACTGGAGGGCAGCTACACTTACCCAGACCCCAGGACCACCGGGGCTCTCCCCAGAAAGAAGGCCACCTGGTCTTCACTCTCTTGGGACCGCCCAGCCACCCGCAGGCTCCCAGCTGTACAGAAGGCAGTCAGGACAGACTTCCGGGACCATGCCAGCAGATGGTACCTGCAAGGACCGCGGGGCCTCTGGGCAGAGAGGCACCAGCTCCCAGCCAACCCCAGCTCCTACTCTGGGCCCAGGGAGTCTATAGCCTGACCTTGATTTACACGGAAAGACACTGTAGCCAGGGAGGACGTTGTGGCAGGTGAGCTCAGCACCAGGTTGTCCCTGGGGCTGGGGGAGGTCCTGAACCCAATACCTAGGAGCCTGAGAAGCACCTACCTGCCGGCAGAATGGGTACAAGGGAGAGGGAGGTGGGTGGAGTTGTCTGAGGAAGATGATGGACTGGGAGGCAGCTGAGAAGGAGGAGCCACTCTCCGTTCTCAATGCCCTCTGCCCATGGTCTTCCAATCCCCACTTCTACCAGAACCACTCTCCAGACTCAGGATGGGGAATGGCCCTGGGAGGATCCAAAGGCCGAGGCCCTCAGAGAGGCTCCTCTTGTTAGCAGCAAACAGTAGAGATGGACAGCAAGCGAGAAGCCCGCCTCTATGCCCCCTGATGGTGTCCTCCCCTGGGCCCTGCTCACCTCTCTGCCCTGGGCCCGCTCCCACCGCCCGCTCAGCATTACAAGTGTGCTTTCAAACCGCTTTCCTGCACATTAGTCATTCAAACCTTGCAAGCCCAAGAAACAAATGTTATCATCCCTCAGCCAACATGAGGAGAACCTGAAGCTTAGAGAGATTGTCCTGGGCTCACACAGCAAGGGACCCGCAGAGCAGGGTGGAACACGGGTCTTACTCGCCAAAGCACTGGCTCTTCTACTGTACTGAGTGTAAGGCAACAAAGGGAAGAGGAGGGGTGTTTTTACTCCCCTGCTAGAGCAGGAGGAGCCTTTCTCAACACAAGGTCAAGTCCCCTCCCCACACTGCCTGCACCAACTCGGAGGCACCTCTTCCTCCAGGGTCTACACAGAGGCACCCTGGGAAGGTTCCCCAGGTGCAGCCTTAGGCCCTGCCCCCGGCTGTGGTGCAGGCCCTCCTGCCTGCGCTATCACCCTGGCTGTGCCTGCTGCTGCTGAGGCAGCTCTGTGTGTTGCTGAGGTAGGAGGGTGGGTGGGTGACAAGCGAGCCTGAGCTGCAGGAGGGGAGGAAAGCTGGCAACCTGCAGAGGACTGGGGGAGGGGGACAGGCTCACTCCCGCCCTGTGGCACCCTCACTCCCTTGCTCCACTCATGCACAGGGACACTGCTGATTTCATTTTAGTGTAGGGAGAGAGGGAAGTGCTGGTTCCAGGGTAAGTGGGGCTCCTGTCCCTCCTTTGCCTGGGCCTGGGGGGCTGAGTCTACCCTCCCCACCCCACAGAGCACATAGCTGTCTCACACATTGCCTGAGAGGCTCAGCATCACCTCTGATTTGTAGCGACCCATGTAGGGCAATCAGGATCACTCAGCACCCAGGCCTGTAGTGTGGCCTGTCCCTGCCCTGCAGGAAGTACCTGACACCATGTGAACCTTCTGGGTCTGACATGTGCTGGCCCCTCAAGCAGAGAGGGGCAGGCAGACATGTGGAACAAAAAATCACAGTCACACTGACACAGACAGTATCACTTTGTGCAGGCAACCAGAGGCCTTGTGCCCATCTGGCAAGTCAAACCTCATAGACAGGTGGGCAGAGTGAGGGCCTCCTAAGAGTAGGACCCACCCAGGTGGGACCCACCCATCCCAGATGCACAACCAGACACAGTCACTCCAGGAGTGTCTACCCTGCTGGCGACAGTTATCTTCTATTCCACAAAGGGGCCAGGGCTCAGCCTGTCCCAAACACAGCTCCTCCCTGGAAACTGGGAAAGTGACTTGGTGCTTTTCATTTCCCTAGAAGGTCCAGGGGAGCCTGTTGCAGTAACAGTGAGCACAGCAGTAGCCGTGACCGTGGAGGAGAAGACAGCCATTGCTGCAGGTAGGAGTCACCCTGTGTGCCCCCAAGCCAGGAAGCTGGGAGCCAGTGGTAAGAATAAGGCTCCCGCTCCCAGCAGGGCGCCCCGAGTGCGCAAGCTGGGCACCACTCTGCAGCTGTCAGTTGTCCCAGGTGAACTCAGGGAGAAGGAAAATGGAATCTTCCTACACCATAGTATAAAAAAAAAAAAAAAAGCCCAGAGCCAGGTGTGGTAGCCCACACCTATAACCCAGAACTGGGGAGGCTGAGGCAGCAGGATCATTGCAAGTTCGAGACCAGCCTGGGCTACAAAGTGAGCTCAAGGCTAGCCTGAACTGCATAGCAAAACCTGTCTCAAAAAGACAAAAAAAAAAAAAAAAAAGGAAGCCCAGAGAGGTTAAGAAATCTGCTCAAGGTCACACAGGTCATAGACTGCAACCCAGACCCTCTTGCTACCCTTCCCTGCTGTTGTCCTGCTTCACAGCCCTGGGTTCAAGAGCTAGGCTTGTGACTCAAAGCCCTAAATCAAGAACTCAATTTGTACATTCGACCTGCCCCAAGTACCATGGAAACCAAGTCCTGAGCACTTTAGTCTAGTCCTCAGGGTGACCCAAAGGCGGCGATAGCTTTGGGTTCCATTGCACAGATGAAAAAACTGAGATACAGAACAGTTACTGGGCCAAGATCCCACAGGTGATAATGCACCTAGAGCTAGGACTCAGATTGTCTCTTCCAAGCCCACGTTCACTCCCTTTTGCTACAAGTCCCCCCAAGGGTGACCCTCACGAGTCTCTGTGACTTTGCAGCTTCTTGGTCCCTAAAAAAGTCCTTGGAATCACTGTCTTATGCAAAAACTCTCGGTCCTCTGAGGAAGCCCTCCTTGTCCTGGTTTCAGCTTCCAAGTCCTGGCCCTGCTATGTTCTGGAAAGGAGAGTGATCTGTTGGTCACTCGGCAATCATGGCATCAGGACCATGACCAGTAGGTTGCATCTGGCTCCCATCCCAGGGCTCTGGTCAGTGGGAGGCCTCTGCAGCCAGGCTGTGGCCAACCACGTAACTTCTCAGGCTGAGTTCAGGTCGGAGGGCTGGAGGAGCAGGATAGGCTGCCCCAGAGCTCTCCTGAGTCAGGCCTCCCAGACTGGGAGATGGGAAGAGATCAGCTAGCATATCAGTGGTGGTCCACCCCAGGAGGAAAAGCATGCCTAGGAGTCCAGGGTGCAGCTGACAGCGTTGGGCAGAAGCATGACACCCCAGTACCCTCCTTCCTTCTGGCCACAGTACATGACTCCCAGACCCCCTCCAGGCCAAGGCACGATCCCGCACTTATCTTGCTAAAGGTCCTCCTGTGGTTGCAGCAGGGGGGTGGGGGGCTGTGTCCACCCTGCTCCTTCTGGACACCCCGAGGCCCAGGAAGGAGCAGGGATTGGGCCAGGCCGCTGCCCGTGCTTTCCAGCACTCTCCAATTATTCGATATCATTTTTAACTCAGGGCTGAATTAGAGCCATGAGGGGTTGCCATAGAAACCGTGTCCTAGAGCCTCTCATTTAACTCAGTGCAGACAGTCACTCCGCTGCTCTGGGGTGCATGGATGCAACGGGAAAGGGGTAAGGCGCTGGAGGCCTGACACTGCAGGTTTTTTTAAATCTCCTTTGTCACTTCCTTTCCCTGGCTGATAGCTCAGCGCCGTCCCCCAAATCCTGGGACCAGCTGGGGCCTGGTGGTCACAGAGCAGTGGGTGGCTTGTGTGTGGGACCTGGGAGCTCAGGAGTGGGCAAGGCTTGCGATGGGGCCTGTACTGTGAGGTGGTGCACCGAGCAAGGGGCAGAGATGAAGGGCATTCACGCTGTGTTGCGCGTTTCAGGCAATACCACAGCTCACCCTGAATGCAGGTGGATGGCTAAGGAGGGATCCCTGCTATCTCCAAGCAGGTGGCTTTGCAAGAGTTCCTGTAAAATATCTCTAAATGTAACTTTGGGTCAGGCTCTGTGTCCAGCTCTCATGTCCTCTAGGCTTTGGTTCCAAGTGCGACCCAGCACAGCAGTGGTGGTGCCGGGCAGGCAGGGTGTGCTCCTCCAGCCACTGGACTTGCAGCCATTCCCACCCCAGCAGAGAGCCGTCTCCAGCTGTGCAGAGCTGCCTGAGCTCACCCTGCCTGGCCTGCGGACCCCTGAGGAGGGGTCCCTCTGGGAATCAGGACGGTTGAGCAACAGGAGTCTGCATCACAGAGGCCTATGCCAGCCCTGAGCCTGGTCCTTGCCTCTGAAGTGGGGCTTGGGAAGACCTATCTGTTTTTGGGTCTGCACCCCACCTAGGAGGACAACCCAGGTCTGCTTAGGATCTGGGTTGAACTCCAGGGGTGAGGGGCCCAGAGGATCTCTTCTTCCTGGGCTCTGCCCTGGCTTTCTGGATTGTCTTGAGTGGGAAGCTCCTGGCAGGAGAGAATCTATCTTCATCTCTGCAGATCAATGAACTCTCCAGACCCACAACTATGCAGTGAGCTCAGCTCTGCCCATGGGCTGGACCACCGGGCCCAGGGCCCTTTTGTGCCCATCTCTCATTCTGATCCCCACACAGTGAGCCCTGTCAGGGAAGTCAAACCCTTGAACCCCAACTGTGGCCTGTTTGTGCCAAAACTCAGCCTTCAAGGCCACATGGGAAAGGGCTAAAAGGGAGTCCAGCAAACAGGGCTCACCAAGCCCCAGGTGGCCGAGGAGGCCCTTGAGCCTCCCGCCCTCACCTCCCGGCATCGGACAGACGCTGGCCTCCAGCCGCACTGACTCATCTGTCCTTGGCTGGCAGGATTAATTCCATCAGGCCAGTGTGGAGAAACACCCCAGGGTGCGGAACTGCGGCAGGGTCTCCAGCTCACCTTCACAAGTCCCCACACTGCCCAGGGAAACCAGCCTGAGGCCTATGCTTCCAGATGCCAGGCTGGACTGGGGGTAGATTTAAAACTCCAACGCAGCCGTGCCCCCGGCTTCCGCCCGCAGCTGCCAAGCCTTATCCTTTCCGGGATGCTGCCTCCTTTTCTCTCCTCTCAGCAACCTGGGGCCTGGTGCGCTGGGCAGGGGCACCCATCTGTCATGTGGAGCTCTGTGCATCACAGTGATGTCCCTCAGTGCCTACCCCGTGCTTTTCCCAACACCCACATCCCCTTCCCACCCAAGCAAACCAGGAAGTACATAGGAAAATACAGTCTTTATTGGTCTTCTGAAACAACAAACCAGAAATATAATTTTGCCTTTAAAAATCTTCTGTCTCAGGCTAAAGATACCACCACTGACAACACCCTTCCCTCCCCCCATTCCCTTTAGAAAATTCCCAGATCTGCTATCAGCCCACAAGCCCAAAGAGAAAGGAAGACTGTGCCCCTAGCCAAGGGGGCATGCGACCTGGATAAGCAGCCTGCTGAGGGGCCCTCTGTCCGCCTACTGGAGATGACCTTCTCAAAGGCTCTCCACGCACCCCATCTACCACCCTCCTCTTCAAGAGGGGAGGGTTGGAAGGAGGAGGCCAGCAGGACTTGCCCTCTCCTGCTCCAATTCCTTCAGAAGTGGGGTCTGGCCGAGTGAGACCCAGGTTCTCACCAGACATCAGACTCCTATGGAGGCAGGTGTCTCTTTCCCTGGCCCACCCTCTGGTTTGGACCATAGTCCAGCTGCAGTTAGAAGCCCCATTAAGCAAACAAACCACTATTTTTGCCCAAGAATGAAGCCTTCGCCCTGAGGCCTCTGCACAGAATGTGGTGGTCCTCTCCCTGCTCTTGGAGTCTGTAGTGATGTGTGGATGAGCAGTGAACCTCTTCAAGGGCCACTCTGCCATCTGCCTGCCACCTGCTTTCCCTAAGGAGGGCCACAGTGCAGGGACTCACTTGACCTGGACCTGAGGTCACAGGCAGATGCTGGAGATGGAGGGAGAAGGAGGGGCACAGGGGCACAGCCAAGGCTGCAGGCTACAGGGGTGACAATAGAGGGTGTTCCCTAGGGTCTGGCAATGAGGACAAACCCTGGCAGCTCAGAGGAAACACCCAGAAGCTGTAGCCAGGCTCCCAAGAGGCTGCCATTCACAGAGGCAGCAGCTTCTGGGCCCCTGGGCCAGTCCCTGGAAAACCCAGCAGGGGAGGTGTGAGCAGGTTGCCATGGTGATGGGCAGGCTCATCCAGCAGCACCACTGTGGCCCACTTTAGAGGATCTCAAAGGAACCCCATGTTACCGACTTAGGATCCTCTCCCTCCACCCAATTGACTTGAGAAGACCGTAGTCAGCAAGCAAGAGGTTCCGTGGTCTCAGGGCCAGAGACTCAAGGAGACCCCTACCTGTCTCCACTGAACTGTGTGAGATTGTGTGTGTGTGTGTGTGTGTGTGTGTGTGTGTGTGATTTCAATCTATGTGACTGTGCTGGTGGTATTCTGAGTGCTGAGTGTGTGGGAAAGTGAGTGAGGCCAGGAGTTTTGTGGTCAGTATGGTCTTGGGAAGACACAAGGATGTAACAGCATTGCCAGAGGGAGGGTGTCCTAATGACAGCATTGTGTTTCTAAGTACTAGGTCCAGATTATGGGTTGGTGTGTTTGCGCAATAATACACTGTTGAAAGTTGGACCCGGCTTTCCACTGCAGGGGATTTAAGAATATCTTTCTAGTTTAAAAAAAAAAGAAAAGAAAAGAAAAAGAAAAAAGAGCCACGGAAATCTATCCCTGGCTCCCTTACCCCTTGCTCCCCAACCCTAACTATAGTTGAAGTGGGAATGAGCGAGAGGTACAAAGAGTCACCCAGTTGAGACAAGGCTCCTCTTACATACATATCTTTCCATCCCCATGGTCAGAAGTTCCTTAGGTGCTCCAGAGACTTGGTGGCCTCAACAGGAGCATCCGTAGGAGCCTGCAGCACAGTGGTGACCTCCAGGGACACTTGGAAGTTCATGGAGATGACCGCACTGTGGCCAGTCTGCTGGAGGGCTGGAAGGCATTGGGAGAGGCGGTGGCCAGTGTCAAGCTGAGGCAGGGACCATGACGGAGGGGAAGGGCCAGCCACTGCAGAGCAACCCCGTTTGTGCTCTCCCTTCCCTGCCTACCTAGGCCAGGCAGGTGGGCTCTCAGGCCACAGAAGAGATCTGCTTCTGGTCTTCGTGCTCACCCTCGGGGTCCCCCATCAGGGGCTGCCGCTTCTTGAGCTCCCGGTGGTACTTGGCCATGAGGGAGGCATAGATGCAGCCGTAGGCAGCGGCCACCACCATCATGATGCACACGATGCCGCAGACAACTCCCGCAATGATCACTGTGCCGATCGCTCGCCGCACACTCACCGGCCTGTACCTCTGCTTCTGAGGGCAGGCTGTGCTGGGCTCAGGCTCTGGCTCCGCCCCAGGCTTGGGCTTGGCAGGTTCAGGGCTGGCTTTGGTGCAGGATGGGCCAGGAGCATCCAGCCCAGATGAGCTGTTCTCATCCTCCAGCCGGGAGCAGTAGTTGAACATCTCCATGGGAACCATGCGCATATCCTTCCCCCTCAGCTCTTTGGGTAGGGTACAGGCCAGCTGGTCCAGGCGTCCCCCTAAGAGGAGTGGTTGAGCAGACATAAGAACCTGAGCTATCTTTTCTCGTCTTCCGACTCCCAAAGCAGTAGGCCCAGAAGGAATAGTCTAATTCAGTCAACCCTACAATCACCGTCTATAGACAAGGAACGGTAAATCAGCACCACCAAGCACTATGGTAGACAAGTGATATACCTTGTGCTATTTCCCCTGTACAGAAGCTATGGAAAACGGATAGTATCTGTACTTCCATTACAGAGAGAGGCATATTTGCCTGACCCTGCCTGACCTGTGGAGGATGACAGTGACAACGTGGAGGAGATGCTCAGGAAAGAGCTGCAGTGCAGACAGTCACATTCCTGTCTAGGCTACAGTTTGCTTCTCTGTCCATGAGGCCACCTGCTCATGAGCCATCCATGACCCCAGGACAGTGCTTTCTGCACAGTTTATCTTATCCTCCCAAGGTTTCTGCTTCTCACAGAAAAGACAGGAGTCCTGAGCTGCTGCCTCAGGCCCTGATCTTCCAAACAGGACTTTTGGCTGCCTAAGAAAATGAGCTTGGAGTAGGGAGAGAAAACCTGGGCAAGAGCTGTTCCTGTTCCCATCGGGCACAATCTGTGGCCCTACCAGTGTCCCTAGCCAGAGAGGCTCAGGCAACAGCACCTTGGAAGGGAGCTGTGGGACACAGAAGGCCAGGAGGAGGTTGGGTGACCGGTGAGTGGCCTGCGGGTTTGCCATGCAAACTTCACAGTAGTGGTAAGGCCAGGCAGGACGGCAGGGAACATGTGGGCAGGGCTGCAGCGGGGTGAGAGAGGCAGCGACTGAGAACAAGACTGCTGAGAAGTCCTCTGGGAAGCCAGACCAGGATCTTGGCCTTCTGTCAGCTTCCAGCGAAGTCTAGACCCAAGCAATAGATGCCCTGCCACAGACAGCTCCAGCCACACCACCACTGCAGCCTCCTTGGCCAGCCCAGCCTCCCTGACTCCTCATACAACAGACATCAGTCTTATTCCTAGGATGGTGATGAAAACATGCCAGGATTTCTTTTTTAAAGGAATGTAAAACTGAAAGCAACTCTGCTATTGAAAATGTCTGGAAAATGCACATTTTCATCATGCGGCTTTCTCACTGAGCATTCAGGCCCTGAGGGGGGTGTGAAGGCCGAGGATGCCGTCTAAGGGTGACGCAGGAGTGTGTTCACACACCCAATTGGGTGGGCTACAACAATAGCAAGCCCAGCGAACATGCACGCGGGCCACCTTTCCCGATGGCCCCACACATGGCGAAGAGCTGGTGCTGGAAAGGAAGTGACCTCGTTTTCCTGCTCAGGAGACCCAAAGTTGAAACATGGCTGCACCATCCTGTGAAAATTACTTATTTAATTACTTCTGAGTCTTATTTCTCTTAGCTGTAAACTAAGAATGCCTACCTCAATTAGCTGCCAGCAAGATTAAAATAGATAATGTGCACGAAAAGATATTTGTACACTGGAAACTATACAACAGTATTAATCATGATTTCCCCACTCATGAAAATGGGAGAAATTATAGTGACTAACATTTCATGGTACTTTAGAGTTTGTCAAATATTTTCATTAAAGCATTAGGATAACGTGGAAATAATTGAGTTAGTAGCTGGATAGGAAATGGAAATAGTAAGACTAACGAAAATTGTTCCCATTATTTTCACAGAGCTTTAATGTTGATTCATTCAGTAAACATCTATTCTGTGCTGGGCGCCAAATTAGTTTATCAAGTGCTCTTGATTTCAGGGGTACTACTAGCAATTCAGCGAGTAAATGGGTGTTTTATGGAGGATCTACTTTATGCTGGTACCTTACAAGATACCTTATGTGTATTCATTTCATCCTCGTAATGACCTCAGGAGATAGGTACTGCTTTTCTCTGCATTTAGAAGATGACACAGTGTGGGACAAGGTGGCTGAGTGGTTAAGGTGACGGACTGCTAAAAGATGACACACTACAGTGGAGAGAAGTTAATGAACTTTCACACAGCTAGTGGGTGATCGGGACAACATTCAAACCCACATCTGGGGACCAGAGGTTTAACTCAGCTGCACCGTGCCTTCCTGGCAAGTGCAAAGTCCACAGTTCGATTCCTGGTACCTTTCCCCACCCCTCCAAAAAAACCATATCTGGTACTTTTGACCACCCTGCTTAGATATTCTCCTCTTCACATTTCATTTGACCATTTCAGAGATCATTTCAGGGCTTTTTCAGGTTAAAAAAAAAAGGAATAAGGGAAAGAAAGTAAAGCTAAAACCATTTGATTGCTTATTAACAGTTTTGATAACAAACTTCTTGGAAGAAGCAGCCAGCTTTGTCATCGCAGGAAAGTTTGGTTTTACCTGCTGGTTTCTGTCACATTTGCCACCCCTAGAAGGGGAGACACTTGAAAGATGGCTGTTTTATTTGGCAGAAGGTACCAGGAAGCCCAAGGCAAAAATACTACCTGGTGGGATGCAGAGCGCAAAAGATAAAAAGCATCCTGTGTTTCTAAGTTCCCTTACTAAACCTACAAAAGTAGGATCAAATTGCAGTGAACCGTTAAAGTGGTTGAAAGGGAAAAGCAGGCTAGAAACCAAGAGGGCACAAGTCAGAAAGGGGTGCAATAAGAGAGGAGGGCAGCAGCCTCCACTCCATGGGGGTGGGGGGAGGGCAGCAGCTACGGATCTCAGGGAGTCCCTCCTGCCCACCTGGTAGTAGGGTAGTCACCCTATCGTTCCCCAGACTTCATCCCACTCTCTGGAATAAAGTCCCCAGCCAGGGGGGCCTAGCCTCTTCTATCTAACCAAGGCCCCAGAGCTCACCTCGATAAGAGAACCACTCCATCCAGTGCTTGAACTCTCGCAGGTTACAGTCACATTCCCAGGGATTGTCCCCGACCTGCAGTAGCTGCAAGCTCGCCAGGGGCTCGAATGTCAGCCGGTCCAGGCTCTGCAGTCTGTTGGAGCGAACTGAGAGGGAGCGAAGAACAGGGAGCCCATCGAAAAGGCCCAGAGGCAGCTGGGCCAGGCCGTTGATAGACAGGTCCAGGTGGCGGAGGCGGGGCGAGTGCTGCAGCAGGTCCCTGTCCAGGGTCCTGATGCTGTTATTGCGTAGCTGCAGCTCGGTCAGATTGACCAGGTCCTCAAAAATAGAGCCGGGCAGCTGGTCCAGGAAGTTGTTGGACAGGTCCAAACGCTGTAGGCTGGACAGGTTGGCGAAGGCCCAGCTTGGCAGGGCACTCAGCTTATTGTTCAAGAGCAAAAGGGTTCGGGTGGCTGCAGGCACATCCGGGGGCACTGTGGTGAGGCCTAGGCCACTGCAGTCCACTTCCAGGCTGCGACTGTCACAGGTGCAGGAGAAAGGGCAGGTGGGAAGGGCCTCGACAACGTAGAGAGCAATCCAGCAGGTGAGCCCTGGGGAGAGGCAGACAGGTGAGAGAAGCACCAGGCCAGGGCGTGCCGCCCTGCTTGGGTTCCCTACTTCCCAGTCCACATCCACAATCAGCACTCACTTATTAACCACACAAAAAGATAATTAACAGTCCTCAGACACTTCCATGTTATGGACATCACACAGGCCAGCACGCCCTCACCTTACTGCATGTCAGACAAAGAAATCAATTTAGTAGAATGGCTGGCCCCCGGGCTTGAACCCAGAGGACAAGCCAGGCCAGCCCACAGCGACAATGATGTCCCTACCCATGGACCACCCATGGCTGATTGCCATGGGAGCTTGAGTCTCCTGACACCATAAATGTTGCCAAAATAAAAGGCAGGAGGCCGTCAGAGAAACCTGCCCCATGTTCCTACTCCACTGCAAGATTCTTTCTAAAAGACAGTGGCTGTGCCGTGGAGCCTTCCCCGCAGCCCCGCAGTGCACCCTGCAGCCGGGCCAGGCTGGGCCATGCTGTTCCTGGAACAGGGAGACACAGAAAGGCACTGTTCACTCTGTTCCATGCGACTTCCCAGATGCTGTGCCATTTACCTGAATTCCACATCCATGCAGGGACACTAGCTTAGTGTGAAGTTTGGGGGCCCAGGCCCATCTTGGGTGTACCCCAAAGAGCACTCTGGGAATGACAAAGATAAGGTGCAAAATGCAGCCCAACACTGGCAAGCCCTGGGGCCCAGGACAGCTTCCACCATGATTCTTATACGAAAGCTGCCATCTTCTTACCCTGACCTCCATTGCTGGGGCTGCCGGACAGCATATCCGCATGCTGGATTGATTAACAGATTGGCTCTTGGATACCCACCTTTTGCCCAACACCCCTCTGAGCAGCACACAGGGAGTCTAATCTTGGAAGAACGGGGGAGATGACCCTCAGAGGACAGTGAGACAGAGCATCTGCCTCCTGACTTCCAGTATCGGGAAGCCTGCTCATTGTGAAAGGGGAAAAGATGAGCTCAAAACACTCCTCCCTGCTGAGCCAACCCCACCAACCCCAGGAGAGATCCTGGCTGGACGTTGGTAATGGTCACCCAGAGCACAGCCCAGCTGGCCTCGCCCAGGCACACCTGAGTTTGGGTGCCTGGACAGATCAGTTCTGAGTCTGTGTCTGCTAGGTGTCCCACCATCTGTATCCCGAAGCACAGGACTAGACAGCAGGGTGGGCCCTCTCCCCCACTCCTGCCTGGAGGACCAGTGGCAGGTCCTGTGAGGCTGACACCTTCGCCTGTTTGTTCTTAGTAGGGAACAAGCACTGGCTCAGTCACAGAAACCAACTTGAGGCCTCTCCGGGCTCTGGGGTCGCCTGCTGTGCCCTCCTACCCTCTCACTTCTCTGAGCCCATCTGCTGCTGGGTCAGCCTGCTCAAGCCCCCCCAGTGCTACTTGATCATCGACATTATTCAGGGGTTACCTTAGGGAGGTGGGTTCAAATGATCCAGCTCCCCTCTCAAAGGGAAGAACCTAAGGAGAAGCCACCATCCTCCCCTCTGAGAAAGAACTAGCAGCAGGACAAGGAAGGGGCATTTTGAAAAGAGCAGTTCCTGTCCTTTTCCCCCTCCCCAGAAATTTGGGGTAGCATAAAGGAAGGCTCTAGTGACAAGCAAACATCATCTTCTATTGCGAGGTGTTGAGCGATCTTAGAATGAGCCGGAAAGGGATCTGGGTTGCTGGGGGCAGCCACTCCTGTGTGGTAAATAATTCAGGCTGCTCATGCCACGGGGCAGCCAGATCACAGACAGGGAAGCAAGGGAGAAGTCAGGTAAAATAACGTCCCTTCAAGCCACTATGACCTCGTGCCAGGTAGCTTTAGGCAAGCCAGCCCCTGGTTCACTTTGGCCCTTTGCCTCAGGTGAATGCTCCTGTCATCTAACAGTCTTCAGGGATGCTGTCATCAACAATTGTCCCTCTGTGTGCCTGTGAGCAGAGTGGGGAGATCCTACTCCACACCCCAGGGAACTCAAGAGTTGGATGGAGAGATGTCAAGAGCCTACAGTTGTCTCCGGGTTCATCGAGCCAGTGCTCAAGGCGAGCTGGGAGGGCAGCTCCCCAGGACAACAGCCTGAGCTGCATGGGTGGCTGGGGTGGAGCCCACTTCCTGCCAAGCTCCAGGCCTGGCCTGCCAAGCACATGTTGGGCACACTCAGATAGCTTGGGAGGCCTAGCCACTCTCAGCAGACCTCTTCTCTTACTATCAGGAAACCCAAAGCTTGGGGCAGGGAGGATACCACGGACTCCTGTAGGGAGACAGAATCAGTGTCATGGCCTACAGCTCTGGGTTTTGCCACTAAAATGCTCAGCAGTGTTTTTGTTTTGGTTTTGGCTGCCTCAATATTATTATTATTATTATTATTATTATTATCGGCATGAGTGTAATATCTCCCAAAACCAGGCCTTGGGAATCCCAGGAATCAATCTCCCTACAGCCTTAGAAACTCCACTACACCCCATGCCAACTCCCACCCTAGCCCAGAGTGCCCTCTCGGGGGTCCACAGGTACTCACAGGAGATCTGCCGGGTTCTTGGCTCAGGGCTGCTGCCCAGCGCCAGCATGGTGAACTCAGAGCTCGCAGCTCTGGGCAGAGAGGTGCCCTTCGGTGTATGCTGCCTGTCAGTCCTGAGAGAGAGAGAGGAGCTGGATGGAGGCGGGCATCTGAGGCCCTGTTCTGGCCCAGGGGTTAAGGAGAGGGCCTGGTGTCTCTTTACACTCCTTGTTCCCTCTCCTGTTCCTCTCAGCTATGATTCCCTGGGCGAGTGGAAGAAGAGAAATAAAAGGGGCAGACAGAGATAACCCAGGAAACCTTCCACCTCCCCCGGGGTGAGGTGCCCAGCCTTGGCTGCCAAAGCGCCCCTAGGCAGGCCCGGAGCTGGAGGATGCAGGCACTGCCGGGTGAACTCGCCTGCCTGCTCCCCTCCCATACCCCTGCCTGCCTTTGCTCTTCTCGGGACTGCTCTGAAATGGGTATCTGTAGAATGTTTGCTTAGCAATATGGCCTCCTTTGTCTGGGTGTTCCCACATCACAGATGGGGAAGTTGAGGCACGGCTCTCCTGGAGGAGCAGAGTGAGGTCTCAGCACACGGCTGTCACCCTCTCACCCATGCTGCTTGCATCCCCAGTTACACCCAGCCCCAGCTCTACCAGCCCCACCCTCATCACTTACCATGGCCCCAGGGAGGAAACCGTCCCAGTGTCTGCCAGCCGGTCAATCGGGTGTGGGCCACCAGCCACCTCCGGCTTCTGCCTTGGAGGTGAACCGCAATGCTCCGTCTCCCGCCAGCCGGTCTATACTAGAACTCGTCAGCTCAGGGGGCCATGCTGCAGCAGCTGCTGGCACAGGAAAGACAGACCCGGAGGAGAGGATGAGACCACAGGGGGCTGGAGCCGGCCCAGGTACAGAGAGCAGTATTCGTCCTGGGGGGACTCACGCCAGGTTCTGCCCAACCTGCTGTCCCCTGGATGGCCTCATCTTCACCCCCACTTCCTTCCAGATGTGCTTCTGAGCCACAAAGGGAGCCAGAGCCTCCACCCTGCCATCCCTACTGGAGGGCCAGATGCCACCCTCCAGCTCACAAGTTGGGTTGGAAACACGATGCTGGCCCCTAGTGCCCTCCTAGGGCCAACCCTGGTTGGCTCCTGGAGTTTGGCCTTCTACGCTTACCAAACCAATGGTCCAGGTTAATTCTTACTGCAGACTCCCTCTCCAGCCCCCCATAGGCCTGTGTAATTCTGGGAGTGGAAGAGCCAGTGGCAGGGTGGGATTAACCACCAGGAAGCAGGTGGCCCTACTGGATACTTGAGCAGTCAGCACAGAAGTTAGCTACAACCTGCGGAAGTTGCCCTCGGGCACTGGGGTCCTGCTGAGCTTCCTGTTGCCTCTCTCCCCTCCTACCCTCTTCTCTTCCCAACTCTCCTTGCACCTCTAGTTGTCCTTGGGAGGCCACCATGATATCCTGTCCACCTGGAAGACCAGGATCAGCTTGCTCAGGAGCAGGGTGTTTATTAGTCTCAGCTCCGTCTTTCCTCCTCCTTCTTCTAGTGAGGACACCAGTTTGTGAAGTGTCCAGCAGGGGCTCACAGAGCCAATCACTAGGATGGGACACAGATGTGAAGTGTGGGTCCCGGACCTCACCCAGCCTCCTGAGCGGAGCCCGAGCACTAGGCAGTAGGGCTACTGGGTTTCGATCTCCAGTTCACTCTCAGGGCCAGGACCAGCAGGCTTCTGGCTCAGGTTTGCAGCTGCAGGACCCTGGGCTCAAAGCTCTGTCTGGCCACTCCTTCAAACAAGTTGCTTAAACTCACTAGGCTTTGGCTTTTGTAGCTCTAAAGATGTTGGCCTTGCTGCTTCACGGTGAGATTTGAGAATTGACATAAGCCAAGTGTACATCACCTTGGAAGCGTAAGCGAATGCTCCTGCCTCGGACTGGAGCCCCAAGTGTGAGCAAACGCCACTGCCTCCCCCAGGGGGAGCGAGCAGGGCTGATTATGCAACAGCTCGCTCATCTGCTCCCACTACCCTCAGCCTGGGGACTGTCACACGGTGCTCACTGCATTCAATGTGTGCTACCAGCCACCCACACAGTGCTCACAGACAGCAGTGTCCACTGTCGCAGTGTCCCTCGAGCCCTGACCTCTAGGACTCAATCAGAAGGCCCTACAAAGAGCTCATTGCATCCATGAGACAGGAGGCAGGTCTGTGGCCACCCAAGCGGTGGTGGGCTTCTGGGTCAGTGATGTGTGGAGTTCACACCAACTGGCCTCCCAGACACAGCGCCACACAGTGTGTAATGCAAACACACCCTAAGCTGTGTGCTTAGGCATGTGCTAGCATGCTGTCACACACACATACATGCACACCCACACACACTCATATACACACTCACACCTTGCTGGCAGCAGTCCAGGAGTTTTCAGATATAGCACAGAAAGATGCCTCAAAGTTCCTGGATGCCCCCAGCAGACAGAGGCACCAGGACTCTTCCCACCTTGAAGGCAGAGCTGGGGAGAGTCTCACAGGGCAGGCCCCCACCATGGACACTTGCTATGCTCAGGCCATGGAGGCTAGCAAACCAGCCCAGCCTTGGCTCCAACTCCTTCTGTCCCCCTGAGGGGGCACAGGCCATGGGATGTCCCTCCCAGATATGCTCAGACCCCACTTCTACCTGAGGCTCCAGCCCACCCTGATAGACTCTTCATTCTCAGCCCACCTACTCAGTGTTAGCCCCACTGAGGAGACCAGGGGTCCACTAGAAAACAGCCAATCATCAGAGAAGGTGGCCTGGGTGCAGGGCCCTCCCTTAACAGGATGCCCTGTGTACAAAACTGGACAGACAAGGCCCCAAGAGAGCCCCATGGTGAGGTCTAGGGAGGCAGGAGGATGCTGTTGTCTGGTGTGCTTTGGAGAAATGTGAGAAAACAAAGCCCCAAGTCTGAGAGGTGACCCCCTGTGCTCTCTGGGTTGCTGGCCCTTCCTGCCTTGGCCCTGGGCTTCTTGCTGGACACCAGAGCCTTCCAACCCTCAAAGGGATGCAGGGGAAACAGCACTTCCCAGCCCTCCAGCCCTGTGTTCACCTACAATGCCAACCGAAGGACCCTCCCCAGCTTTGAGGAGCAGAGCATCCTCAGGAAAGGGGTGACCTAGATTGGGAAGCAGAAGAGCAGCTGGGGGAGTCGCACTGGCCAGCTGTTGGGATAAATGAACAGTGGTGGGGGCTCCTATGCAGCGTAGGAGATGAAGGGCCTGCCCAAGGAATCCCTTCCTCATGTCCCCACCGCATCACCTGGAATGTCGCACCTGTTGCTGACGCTTGCCTCGTTTTGCCCTAGTCTCAGAGGTAGATCAGCTGTAAGGAGCTGGGTCCCGGTGGGGTCCCAGGGTCTCCCTCACTGGGTTCCTCATTAAAGAGTGAGACTGAAGAGCTACATGCAGTTAACTGAGGAGCCCCTGAGGTCTAGGAACGTGGGGTTTGACCTTATCCCTTGCTACCCAAAGTGTGCTCCCTGCACTAGCAGCCGCCTCGCCTGAGAGTCTTCTAGAAATACTCAGTCCTGAGCACCATTCAGGCTGGCAGAGTCAGAATGTGCATTTCAATGCCCAGACTACTTGGGTGCATATGAAAGTCTGGGGAGCACCAGGCTGGCATCTCCCATGTGGGGACAAGAGGTTGCCCTAGAGGCACCGCATGGGCCCAGGTGGAGGATCCACAGGGCACTACCTGGGACCTGGGTGGAAGCCAAAGCATTCGTGTTAGCACCGGCTTCAGGAAAGCCTTTCTGTGGCCAGAAACAAGGGCTACAAATACCTACCTGGTGTCCTTAACGCCGCAGAACTCTCTAAGGTTAGTGGCATTATTAACACCATTCTGTAGATGGGGAAACTGAGGCACAAGAAATCAAGCAACTTGCCTAAACTTAGGTAAATGGAAGACAATAGCTCTGATCTCAAGCTTTCTGGCAACAATGCAACTGACCCAGTTGTCGTTGTAGGCTCCTGAGTCTTCCCTGCTCCTTTACCTGCTCACGTACAGAGCTCCTGGTGGAAGACTGCAGAGGAGGAGCCGGGAGACTCACACGGGCCTTTATGGTCTACACAGCATTTCCCCATCCACTGTCTGATGGGAGCTGAGGACACAGCTGCTCTTACCCCATCCCCAAGAAGAAACAAGCTTTGCCACTCCTGACACTGAGACACAAGCCAGTTGACCTCCAACCTCCCCTCTATCCAGTCCTGACACGGGGGTGGTGGTGACAAAGCTAGGGGAGAGGGCTCTCTGGAAACCTCTCTGGCTGGGTTGAATGCTGAGGTGAGAGAGGGAGGCTGTGGGCTCCCTGTGGGTACTGGGACAGGCGTGGGGTGGGGTTGAGAAGCAAGGCTCCACACACATGCTTGCCTAGCTGAGCGGGTTGCTGTGCCCCCTAGACCACCCTCTCAGGACCCCTGCTCAGCCCCCTAGTTCAGAACAGTCTGCTGCTTCTCACTCCTTGTGGAGGGTCAGGCCCAGAACGGCCGGGGGTACCCTTCCGTCTCTCCTGTAGATTGGGTTGGTTCATCCTGCTAGAAACCAGCACATTCATACCAGCCCCGGAGTCTGTGCGCTTCCTCGGAGCTCCTCTGCCATCACCCCTTAAGCCAGGTGTCCAAGCCAGGCATGTTTAGTGCCCCTCAGAACTCCTGACTCCTGAGCCAGGGTGCCGGCTTGCTGTGTGTTCCTTCCCCTCCACATCACCCAGAGACGTTGCAGAAGGACCTTCACTGTGTGCTGTGAGCTTCCTTCTGCAGAGAGGTGAAGGTGGCAGCCCCTCACTGGCCCTCGGGAGCCAGCCTGAGCCCTGTGCAGAAGGGCCCCAGATTCTGCTGGACAGGCCCCCAGTGAGGCTGCTGCATCCCCTAGGCTGCTGCCACCTGCCTGGGCCCTTCTAGGAAGCACTCCAGGTCTCGCTCGTCCCTACCCTTCACCCCATAACACACACTGCCCGGGCAGCAGCGAGGAAGCAGGCTCCGACACTCTCTGTATTCACTCTTGCAGACACTCTCTGTATTCACTCTTGCAACCGACACACACCCTCCAGGCTCACTTCAGAACACCTGCCCCTTCTCTGGCCCACTTCCTGCTCCTGCCTTCCCTGCTCAGATGTTTCCTCTTCCCAGCAGACCCAGAGGGGAGTGGAGAGGGACGCCCCCAGCCCCCCTCAGGAGCTGCTCTCCAACACAGATGAACCGAGCAGGTCTGCTGAGGCTGTGGAAGCACCATCTTGCTACCGGAGGCCCTGGACCTGGGGCAGAAGGAAGGTGACCCAGCGAGGGGACACCCTGCCTCTGTCCCACTCCTTCCTCCCCTCCCCACCCTTAGGGCTCCTCAGATGCCACAGCCATGTCACAGACACTGATCCCTCCCCTGGGGCCCAGCTGGGGCCCCTTCACCCCAGCGCCTAGGAAATAGGAACAGGATCAGTTCACCCTGGGCCCTAGACCCTGCTTCCAACCAAACCCCAAAGAAACCCGGGAGGATGCTTAAGCAGTTTCCCTCCTTCCCTCCCCAGCCACCCCTAGGCCTGGCTTTCCTGGTCTTTCTCTTTTGGCAGTGTGGAGACTCTCTGCTAGTGGGGAGGTGGGGGTGGGAAGTGCTGGGCGCCTCTCGCTGCGTGGAAGCTGCTGTTGGGTTTCCCCACCAGCTGGACTTCCCCCGCCCACCGCCACGTGCTCAGCCTCCTCCCCTCCCCCACCTGCAGTAGTTATCTAAGCTGTAGGCCTGTCAGTCTGAGTCACACA